AATCATGACACATTTTCTCTCTTGCTTTCATTAGCTTTTATGGTTCTTTTTTTTTTTTTCATTTTCCATCCAGCATTTTCCTAAGTGAATCTTTGTTCAGATCACATCATATGACCTCAGTTGAATATCCCCGAAGGTCTGGTCATCATAAGGGTCACATAGTTTACATCTACAGAGACGTTTGTCCACAATTGGTAGAAGTGTTATGACCAATGGGCTTGATTTCCCAATTGTATTTTCTTTCCGCCCATAAAAAATGCCAACATTATTTGATATTTTTCATCTGTACTCCTTAGGAGAATTTTTTCTCATTTGCTTGTAGTTTCAGTGATGTTTTTCTATGGATGTTTGTAAATGAACCTAAGGTAGTGTCCTTTCCTGTTATAAAAACCAGTGCAAGTCATCTTTGCATGAAGACATCCCTCAGTGACAAATCTTGGAAATATTGCATTAGTGTTTTGAGCATACAGTTTCAATACATGTTTGTTATGTGTCTTTTGGTGGCTATCTTTACTTTTAGCACACTGAACTTGTTTCTTTAATCCATACTTCCTTAGGTTAGTTTAAAGTGATACCTTCTTTTTTCCATATACTGTAACCATTTTGCTTAAAAGTTTTTATTCTTTTAGTTTAAAATGAAAACCTAGAAATTTTCCAATATATTTCATTGAAATTGTCACTTCCCAAAATTAAATCTGAAAAGATTTTAGTTACTTTATATAATCTAATTCAAAGAAATAATAAATTTAAACAATTTTAAACTATATTTATTATATATTATTCCATGATAAAATTGACAAGTATTTACACTATTTACATTGGTTGGTTGTTTTGTTTTATGGCATATCAACCTCAGCAAAATTTTTTAAATTGATTCATAGTGATAGTTTGGTAAAAAAAAAGGTGTATATATATATATACATATATATTTGAACCATTTTTCAATTAATCATATTTTTGAGTATAATCCAACTTCTTTTAGGAAATTTACAATCTTGGATGATTTTATTTTCGTAAAATGTTTTTTTAAATTACACACTTGGTAACATATTATTTGCACTAGATCAAAGTCTACACATTCTAACAGTATATGTTTCACTGTAAATTTCTCTTGGCATGTAGTGCATGTTGGGGATTCTGTACCCTCTAGTAAATAATGGTGGGTGATGTAGGTGTGGCCTATGTGAAGGCTTATTGTTTGGACAGTTGTCCTTTTCTTTATTGTCCTATTCACAATGTTTCAGCCATTCTATGCTCTGGCATTCTTCAGGCTGGAATTTTGAACTTAACATTTTATTTAGTCCATTTGGGTAGATTGCTCTAGTTCTACATGCCATACCTATTCTGGATATTTCAGTTTCAGTTATTTCTCTTTAGTAACTCAACTCTCTGGGTTTTGTTCACCTCTGCTGTGGCCAGGTATTGAACTCACAACTTTTTGGGTCAAGTCACTGGATTACTTCTACCAATGTTTTATCCAATGGGCCACATTGATGAGTTACATATATAACAATTATCTTAATGTTGCAATTGAACATTAAAGTTCAAGATAGTTTTCATGGAGTTCTCCGTCCATACACTTCTGGTCTCAATTTAAACTGAATCCTTTTTTCCATATATTGTGAACATTTTGCTCAAAATTCTTATTTTCTTGATTTCAAATGAAAACTTTCAAACATATTTCACTTAAATTATAGCTTATGATTAGTGTTTAGATATATGAAAAAAAAGTCAGTGTCAATTTAAACTGACACAAAGAGGTTACATGTTAAGCATTTTTAAAACTTTATACAGTAAATAACTATTTTTAATGGAAACAAAATAGCTATATTTTTAGTCGTATAAATTTTCCCTTCAAAAACACAATGCCATCAATTTTGGCTGAATATTATACTTTGCTAATATCTATTGTGAAATATTTTATTAAAATTGCAGTCTGTCTTGAAAGCATCTAACCATTTTGAATATCTCAAGAACCAGTGGTGCAGTTTTGATATAACCTGACAACCAGTGAAGATTCTCTTCTGTGTTTACTCAGTTACCAATGAGACACTATTGAGATAACTTGTGTAGTGCATGTCTGTCAAATTGACAAGAATGTTTCACGCAAGGTTTTTGGGTCAAACATCATATCATCTTGGTATGTCAGATAATTCTTCAATCTAAATTTGGCTCATTGGGAGTTCTGGCTTTTCCCAAAGCTAATATTATTGTTGAAAGGAAGATTTCAGAGTATGGACAGGATTAAGGAATTTGCAGCTGATGGCAATCCTAGAAAAGAACTCTGAAGACTGTTTTGAAAAAATGGAATGGAAACTGGGGAGTACTTTGATGTGGACTAAGATACCATTGCTCTTGGTAGGGTAATTTTTGTAAATACCAGATGACTGAGTACATTCCAAAAAGATCTTGTATGTGACTCTATAATATAAATTGGTTAAAGATTTAAATTCCTAAGTGGATACAGATTTACAGTTCATTAAAAATGTATTAATTTTGATTTTTTTTGTATCTCAATAAAAAAAAAGATTGTAAAGAGATTTTTCAAAATGAAGCAGTGGTAATAAAATCTGGAATAACAAATAACTGCTATGGACAAACCTTTCAATCAAATTTTAATGTTTAATTTTTAAACATCTCATTGGGATTATCTTATAATTAAAATATTTTCATCTTTAATTGATGCTAATATAAAAATGATCACACAACAGACACATCTTTATTATATTTCCACAAAGTGCTGAAAACTTGACATAAAAGATCAAAACCAGTGGTACCTTATAAAATAATGGTGGGACTGATGAGAATAGTTAAACATGAATACAATTAGACAAACAAGGACAGATAGTTATGGACTGACACAGACAGGTACTTATAGAGAGAGAGAGATCAACTCACATAGACAAGTACCTAAAGACAGATCACCTGCCGACATGAACAGATACCTACAGATAGATTGATCAACATGGACAGGTACTTACAGATAAACAGACCAACTAACACAGACACGTACTTACAGGCGGACATACAGACCAACTGATATAGACAGAACAAAACATGCAGTTACAGACAGATCGAGATAGGTAGTTACAGACAGACCGAGTCATTTAAAGACATCAGACAGATATTAGTCATGTTACAGACACGCAGACAGGCCGAGTCATGTTACAGACACGCGGACAGGCCGAGTCATGTTACAGACACACAAACAGACCAACTCAATGAGTCATGTAGTTACAGACAAAGTGAGTCAGACATACAGACACTTACAGACAGACCGAAGCAGACAGATATATGAACAAACATGACCAAATAGATATAACAATAAACAGATAAATTGATACAAAACAAACCTGAGATAAAGAGAGAGATATTATTAACAGATTAAGGAAGATAAGGAAGGTTTTCATTTTCAGTGAAAATCAAGATCTAAATGTGATAAATGATAGGATGGTGAAAAGTTCCAAGCCCAACTAACTTCACAAATTCAGTATTTAGCTATTTGGTCATTAAAGAAATTGATTTTAGGAAGTGGGTTAGGCCAATAACTTTTCAGCAGTTTCATGAATATGAACTGAGATAGAAACAGAATTAAAATTCAAATAACATCAATATGAAAAGAATGAAAAAGACAAGATCAAAATTATAAATAGTTACACATATATTTGTAGTGTGTGTTTGTGTATTGCTAAGAAAATTGCAAACATGTTAGTTGATTTTATGTCACATCAACAACTCTTGTTGGGTTATTTATGATTGAATATTGTTTCTGGCACACAGTGATAATCAAACTCACTATGAAGTAATAATGGTCAACCAAATTAGCTTTACTAACCATTGCCCCACACCAAGGCAACTACAATGAACAGACTTAGATAGATATAAACAGGTTAGTTATTTACAGTATTTACATTAGTCGGACTATTGTCCTCATCTTTGTCGCCATATTTGTCACAGATTTTTGTCTGTGTGTGTATTACGCTCCGGCCTTCTTCAGGTGGTTGGACACATGGCACAGTTGATAAAGGCATTGGTTAGATCCAGTGACAGACCCAAAGAAGGTGAGTTCAATACCTGGTTAAGGCTGTGGAGAACTTTCAGAGGGAAAATTAGCAGGAGATAACTGATAACTGACATCCATCAAACATGGCATGTGGAACTAGAACAGTCTACCCCAGTGATTGAAATAAAGGGTTCAGTTCGACATTCCAACCACCTGAAGAAGGCCGGAGCGTACAACAGCTGAAATGTTGTAATAAATATGGCAACAAAGATGAGGACAATAGTCTGACTAATGTAAATACTGTACATAATACCTCATCTCAGAAATATAGACAGACTCAGGTTAGTTATTTAATGTCAAAACTTGTTAGTTTATTTAATGTTAAGAGGCTACACATTTTCTTCTATGTTCCATGGCATTGCTCTCCACAGCTTCCTTTGTGTCCCTTAGTTAAAGTTTGTCTTTTTCTATTTCCTAATCCATATTCTGCTAATCATTTATACAAGTTTGTTAAGTAGGTTATGCATTGCTTTCTTGTCTCTCTTACCTTCAATATGCCCTGTGAGTGTCAAAATTTCCACGACTTCTTTCCTTGTTATGTGCCCTAAAAATTTCAACTGACACTTTCTGATACTAGGCATAAATTACGTTTTTATTTCCATTATCTCAAAAACATTGTCATTGCACATGTGTTTAATCCTTAGTATTCTCAGCATCTTCTGTAGAATAACATTTCTATTGCTTCATTTCTTTTCTCCATCTCTCTGATGAGATGCTCCAGCATTCACTGCCATATAGGAGTACTGATATTATATAAGAGTTCAGTACTTTTTACTTTTTGTCTTTAATAAATTTTTCTGTTTCTTAATGCTTTGCTTACCATTTGGGAGGATATTTTCCCCAATGTACCTTCAGATTTTGGTGTTGTAGGACATGCTATCCAGTAGCCATGGTCAACCAGGCTTGCCTCACTAACCATTACTTCACATCAATGTACCTATAATAAACAGACATAGATAAATAGGGAAGAGACAGAGAGATAGATAGGGAAGTGACTGAAATAGAGAGATAGGGAATAGGGCGAGATAGATACATAGATAGATCGGATTATTAGATAGATGGGAGATAGATTGGCAATAGGGCGAGATAGATACATAGATAGATCGGCAATAGGCCGAGATAGATACATAGATAGATCGGCAATAGGGCGAGATAGATACATAGATAGATAGATCGGCAATAGGCCGAGATAGATACATAGATAGATTGAATAAATAGATCTTTAGATAGATCAAGCAATAGGCCCAGATAGATACATAGATAGATCGGCAATAGGCCCAGATAGATACATAGATAGATCGGCAATAGGCCCAGATAGATACATAGATAGATCGGCAATAGGCCCAGATAGATACATAGATAGATCGGCAATAGGCCCAGATAGATCAATAGGCCCAGATAGATTAGATAGATACGAGATAGATACATAGATAGATCGGCAAACGCCGAGATAGATCAGATAGATCGAATCGAGATAGATACATAGATAGATCGGGAATAGGCCGAGATAGATACATAGATAGTGAATAGACCGAGATAGATACATAGATAGTGAATAGACCAAGATAGATACATAGATAGTGAATAGACCAAGATAGATAATTAATAGACTCAAATGAATACGTTGTTTTATTTTACATCTCAACCATTGTTGCTTTTTAGTGTTGATAGGTCGCACTACTCATGAGCAATGGTCAACTAGAATAGTTTCACGACACTTACTACTTTATAATAATGATCAACCAGACTAGTTTCTTGGTGAGGATGAGAACTTTTCACCACCTGTTTGTATAGGTGCAAGAAAATAAAGTGAGAAAAAGGAATAGAAAGAATGCTTGAGTAATTATAATAGAGAAATAAAAATAACAAGCAATAAATGTGGCAGAGGAAGAAAATAAATAAAAATTTAAGTGGAAAGAAACAGAAGCAACAAATGTGACAATATGAAAGACATTGAAAAGCAAATAAGATTGTATACAGCTAAAAAACAAAAAAATCAGAGGTAAAAAAATGCTTTTACCAAAAAAAAAATAAAAAAAAAATCAACATTTTGTTTCAAAGTTCATCAAATTATCATAAATTACAAAATAACATTTTTAAGACATTTCTGAGTATAAACATTTTCAGACATAACAAGTGAAGAAATCTTTTAAAATTTAAACAAATAATTGAATGAGACGATTCAAAAGAAATTTTGTGTTTATTTTTAAAACCTTTTTTTAAAAATTTCATGGGAAAATCAACGAAGTAGGAATATAAAAATGTAATAAGATAAAATTTAAAAAATTGGAAAAATAAGTTAAATATATCTAGGTCTTCATTCATTGTTACATATGCTTTCTCATTTTCTAACTCTTGATCATACAAGCTTTTAATTGAAGACACATAGGTCATCTGGAATAAGTTTATCCAGAAAAGTGTCCAGAAACAATGGATTTCAGGGTTGGATTAAGACCAATAGCATCACTACAAATTGAAAAGATTTTGGTGTACCCATACATCTGTGAATTAAGTATGCTAGCATAGAGTCTCTGAGTAATAAAAAAAAAAAGGACATCAGCTGTGAATGTACATCATAGAAATGCCATCTGGAAATAAATATAGAAGAATCTGAAGGCATATATGACTGTTGATAGAGGCTGATCATTAGTTCCAACCCAGAACAATAGTAATACCCAAGGAACCTAGCCAGAAAGAGCCAATCACAGCTGAGCAGCCATTGTTAAATGAGCTATGACCAAATTTTAACAGACCTGTGACCAGAAATGGTTATGTAATCAACAAACCAGTACATTACAGAATCACATAAACATATGGTCAGAATAATGACAAAGAATATGTAGGTAGTTTACTTTTGTGATTGTAAGCAAAAATGAAATCCCATAAAGTTAATTAGTAATCAGTGGTGTAACTGACGGGGGGCGAGGGGGGCTGACCGCCCTGGGAAAAACAGACAGGAGGGGGTGACACAATGTCACCCCCAACAAAATTTTTCAACTAGGCTAAGGTGCCAAAAATAGTCTGCAAACAGTGGTGGAGACACAGGGTTTCGCAGGCGGGCATATGACCCCCCCAGTTTTGTCCCCCCATCAGAAATTTTCTAATAAACTGCCGGGAAATTTGTGAGTAGGAAAAATAGCAATGTTTTCAGCTTTCATGTGTTTCAGTTGCTACAATCTTAGTTACTAACAAGAGACATTGTTGTAACATTTTATTGGATGATATGGTGTTTTAACTCTGCATCATTAATAACAACAAAGCGAAATATGAAGCCAAAAGTGCAACAATTTCAGTCTTGCCTGTGTATCAATTCGCTGAGATACAATTTTCCATTGAGTGAGTGATATACTTTTGAATATATCTACTAGTGTTGGGACGATTAATCGGAATCGAGAATCGGAAAAATCAGAACTTTTTGGGGTATCGGAAACGGTATTGAAATCGGAAAAATTTGTGCCTATTTTCGGATTCCAAAAACGATTCTTTTAAATTTTTAACTTAATTTTCCATTATTGGTACTAATGATAAATATTTATTGTTTTTAAATTATCACTAAAACTAAAATCATAATATCAAAATACGATGTAAATTTATTTTACTTGTATAAAGAAAAACAAAAAATAAACTTTGCATAAATTCTCTAGGTAACCTTTAAAAGAATGCAGTTGATTTACAATGTTCCGAAAAATGCTTAAAAATTAAATAGAACATTTTTGTCAAGAAAAATATTTTCAAACATCATTGATAATTAAATGGTACCCAGAAAATGATGCAACAGAAAATTGGACACCAGAAAATTAGCAACAGAAAATTACGTCAACCATGAGCCAGTCGAGGCTGTCGGATCTGGCTGTGCTGTCCATTGAAAACGAGCTTACAAGACAAACAGATTTTGATGATGTCATTGCCACAATGAAAACAAAAAAACATTCATTCTAAGACCATAGTATCGGATGTCATTCTTTTGTGTATTGCCGTGTTTTGTATTTAGTTGTTCTGAAAGTGAACAGTTGCATTTCAAAAATCTTTTGATTTGAACTGATTATTTTATGGTATTGGATTTTGTCTTGAATCATACATGTAAACAGTAACGAACCGGTCAGTAGAGTAAAGTAGAGGTAGAGCATGTATGAAAATTTAGCTACAGCTAACCATTCAGCATAGGGTGAATCGGGGTCATTGGCATGACACTTGAGCGGACCGCCCCGGGTGACGTTTACTCTAGCTACACCACTGTTAGTAATACTAACTTATTAAAGAGGGGAGATGTGATGTTTTGAGTGAATAAAAACCTCATTATCTCCCTTATTAACCAATCAGAATCACAATAAAGTTTCACTGTGGGTTAGTCATCTTCCCATTCATAATGCTGTCTAGCAGATTCAAATGTTAATTGTGTCAACACATTTCTTTAAATGTGTACAACATCATATCATATAACAATTTCCCTTAATGCCCTAAGCACGTGCTTATTTTGCTTAATGGTTAATCCAGGTGTTGTGATGCTTTCTATTTTGTAAGGTAAAAGTTCCTCCCCTGTGCTGTGTGACAACTAACTTAGTAGTAGGTGCTCAACTCTATGCAAAATAGAGCAAGTCCAGTTTACCTATGTCACTATACTTCCTGGAAACAAAAAGGTTTTGTTGATCTCTCTGAATAATAGTACAAGATCTTATCTCTCTCTTGAGCTGTGTACTTGTTTTTTTTATTGGGGATCTAGGTCTGGATTCATCTTCATTCTGATCTTCCAATTCCATTTTGAATTCGTGCAAACTATCCCCCATAGATTCTTTGCTATTATATTCACTATCTCTATCTCATACTTTATTCACTTTCAGGTTTCTTCTCTTCCATCTCAACTTCTTCATCATCATTTCTAGGTCTTATTTGATGAGAATAGCCAATAAATTCTGTCTACTTGTTGCTATTATAGCTGTATTATGTTGCTTTTGTACAATAAAATTATCTTTTTAAAAACTCGATTCTCTGTCTTTTTTGTACCACATTTTTTCACTTATTAAATAATACATTGTTATAAATGATCTAATTTGTCTTCCCATCAATACAGAGGGACATTAAAGGTAAATATCTTTGCTTTGGGAATTACAAGACTGCCACCCAATTCCCTGTCTTTAAGTAGTGTAGTCTCTTTTACAATAAACCTTTCTTCTTTCATCTACACGCATGTTGCTGTTCCTTCACTCGAGTACCACCTTTGTCTGTATGTAACCTCTTTAAGGATACAACCCTAACTAGCTATGGTCTCTCTGGATGGGGAAAATGCCTTCTATCCCATTTACAAAGTCTTCACTATTCTTTCTGAAATTCCATTTGGTTGTGGAAAGAATGGTAGGGTGTTATAAGGGAGGCATCAAATTTGTTTGAACCATCATCACAAAATTCTGCCATGTTTTCAAAGACTAATGTTTTTGGCACCCCATTTCTGGAAAATATTACCTGTAATATTAACTTTAATGTAGCTGCATTCCTATCCTGAAATCTAACCACTTCAGGCCATCCAATGAATGAGTTGACCAAAATTAAAAATAGTCCTATGGCTTTAACATGTGCATGATCCATATGAACATGGGCCCATGGCTCTTTTTCTTCAGGCCATGAATTTATCTTGGTTTGTCAAAAGTTTTTTTTATTTCCCTACCTTTTGGGCATTTCTGCATGTATTTTTTTACATCACATGAATATCCAGGCCACCACATTTCCAATTTTAATCATCTCTTTTGCTATTACTCCACAATGAACATTATCATGTACATCTTTTCTTATCTCTATGGTGGTATTAAAACATCTCTATTACATATAAGATCCTTCTCTGTAGTTAACCTCTGACTTATCTCTTTATAGTGTGTCTCTGCCCTAGAACAATAACTCCATTTACTTCTTTTTATTCTACATGTAATATTGCTTAATATTGGATCCCGTAAAGTTTCAAATGCAAGACAATCTAAGCGTAATACATCTGTTTCAATCTTCTAAATCATCTGGTCTTGCTAATGGTTCATTGTTGAACTTTGGAGCATCTCCATATGGAATAGTATTTACTTTCAAATAGTCAATGTCGAAATCGAAGGCCATGAGCTTTATGGCCCATGTTAAAATTCTAGATCTAACTTTATATTTTGTGGTTACTCCAATTTTGAAATCCGCACATATCCTTAAATTTATATCTGTTTTTTTGTAAAACAACAATGGATGAGGCCCAATTACTATCACTAGAGGGGTAACATGCTCTAAAATTCCTTGCTCCACATTTGTTTTTAGTTTAGCAACTACTAAAAATAGCATATGAATGAGCAGTCTGCAAGATTCAAAGTAAGAGTGGTGACTATTTTCTTTTAATTGAATGCTCGTATTGTAAGCCCCATGTCATTACTTCCCAAATTTAATTGATTAGTTTGATTCTACTTTCAAGACATCTATTCCCATAAGTCTGTGATTTTCTTTTACATTTCACTGCCATGCTTTTAAATGTTGAAAATTTATACATCATCTCAATAAAAATTTAAAACTCTGATATATTAATCTCTT